TAAACCCACTCCATCTTGTCTGGTGTTCCTGCCTCCTCCACCGGGGTCCCAGGCAAGAGATTTCAGGAGAAGAATGGTGGCTGAGATCTCTTCCCCTTCAAACATTTGCCTTTCCTAGGGTGCTCCCCATGGGGGTGGTCAAGAATGCTTACATCCAGCTGCTAGGCCCCTCTCTGCATGCCCACCTTAGTGGGGGCATAAGATGACACCAGATCCTACTATTCCTTGGGCCTCTCACACTCTATACATATCATTATCAGAAGGACTGCTCATTCTTACCCATCTGTTTTTAGTGATATTAATTCTGCCACCACTACTAATAAGACAGATCTAATTCAGGACAAACACATACCGGCGGAGCCCCGCACCCCACACCATCCAGAGCTTGAGTTCGCAGTAAGTTAACTGTCTGAATTTACCAAACTTTGGAGTAAAAAGAGTCCTGGGAGTCCCTCCCACCCAAGTCCCTCTCTATTTTACAGATGGGGAAACGGAGGCCCACCATGGGAAGGGACTGTTCTGGGCTATGCAGGTGCCTATACGCTGGCCAGTCCTGCAGGCACCTGGGCTGGGTGAAGTCAGCTCTGAGCACCTAGTCATTTTCTTGCCCATCCGAGGAGAAGGATGTAAAGTGTCAGGTTCTGGGGGTTCTCCTGAGCCCCTCTAGCTCCTAGGCTCCAGACCCCACCTTTCTCTTTTCACTACCCCCAGATCCTCTTGGGCTTGGCACTGTCATCCCAAAGAACTTGTTCTCCCAGACCCTTCCCACCTCCAGCAGATTGGACATGCTCAGGGGAAGGCCCGAAGAGCCTTCCTCTCCAAAGCGGCATGCTCTGTAAGGCCCTGTGTGGGCTCCCCTCTCCTCCCAGAGGGGCTGGGGACACACCTGACAGTGAACACGTCTGTGGTCACTCTGGCTCTGTTGTGGGGGGACAGCTAAGTACAGAGTCTGATAATTGGGTTTTCTGATTCCAGTGGTGTGTATGTGTGTGTGTGTGCGCGTGCGCGCGTGCGTCCTTGTGCATATTCTATGCCTTCCAAGACTGATGAGCTGGTATAGTCTGGGACATGGTTGTGGAATTTACAAGTGTAGGTGGGATCTCCAACTGTCTCCCGGCAATCCGGTTCCAGAGACACACCCCATTCTGTGTGTGTGTGTGTGTGTGTGTGTGTGTGTGTGTTGGTGCCCGGGACAGCTGTTGTTTGTCAGAAGTAGTAGTTTCAGTGTGGGGGAGCAGAGCTTGAGGCTGACTGACCAGGCATCTTCCTATGAGCACAAGGTGGGGGGTTAGGTCAGACTTCCCAGTGGGCTCTTGGTTGCATCCTTGGGCATCTTGAGGGGTGCCTATACCCTGGAGCTTGAGAGTAGTCATGAGAGCATGGGTTCCTTTTCTCTGTGACTCACAGCTGGTTTTTGACTCAAGTTCCTTGAAAGATCACGATTCAGCTAATTCTTCCCCTGGCCCCATTAATCTGAGCTAACTAAGCAAGAACCAGAGGTGGGGTAGAGACCCGGGATGTTCACGATGGCAGGTCTCCTTGCTTCAGCTTCTGTCCATCTCCCTGCCTTGGGACTAGCCATGCCAAATTGGATCAGTTACACTGCCAGGCTCCTAAGAAAGGTTGCCACTGCCTCCTTTGGAAGTCCTCTGCACTCATCTCTCCATTTCCCCCGTGTACCTGCCACCACCTGCAGTGCAGAGAGATCCATCTGGACATCAGACCTGAACTTGTCTTCTTGTACCTAAATTCATTTTTTTTTGGTATATGCCCCTAGCGGGAACTGAACCCGGGACTCTCTGGTCTGCAGGCTGATGCTCCAACTGCTGAACCAAACCGGCCAGGGCTAAATTCATTTTTACTGTTTGACCAGCATCCAGTGTATAAGGTCCAGATAGAATCTGGAAGCTGAGGGCTTCTCCAGGGATGATCCTATCTCATCCATTTTGTCCTAGCGACATGGCTCTGGGCTTTTCCTGAACCCTGGGAGAATGTGGAGGACAGATCAGGACCTGACAGGGGTGGGGGTCGCTGATAAGGGGTGTTGGACTCCAGGGGGATCTCTGATGTATGAAAAGATCCATCCTGTTGGAGGTGGGCATGGCGTGGGGTGGGTCTATGGTGTTAGGGATAAAGATGGAGGTAGGGCTGAGGAGGTGAGGGGGAAAGAGAAGAGAGGGATGGGGTTGTGAAAATGGAGGTGAAATTGGGAATGGGGAGCTGGATAGGAAGAGGAATGGAGATAGGGTTAGATGGTGAAAGGAAATAGGGTGGAATGAAGGTTAAGGACGGAGTTGCGGTTGAGGTTGGGGATGGGCAGAGAGATGGAGGAAGAGACAAAGGGTGGGAATGGATCTATTGGAAAGGCCAGAATTATTCGGGGACCTTTGATTGATGCTTCTGAGATGCACTCTCCTGGAGCTCATCTTGTCATTCCCCTGCTCTTGGGCATGTTGCCAGCCCAACCACACCCACCCCAGATCAATGGTTGCTTCTCCACTCAGGAAACCACCTCCTTTGGTCACATAGTCCAGCCAAACTCAATGTAAAATCCTGAAACGTCCCTCTGAAGACGAAGGCCAGTCTCTCCTGCTGCAGAAGCCAATCTCGGCTGGTTGAACTCCTGTAGGCTTCAGCAGGGATGGTGGACTGTGATGGGAAGGAAGGAGGGCAGGGCACACCTGCGGGACCTCTGTCCCCTGAATCCCTCCGTTATGGGGGAACAAGGGAAGGCAGGCAAAAGTGGCTCCCAACAGCCCCTCCTCATTAGAGTATGGAGATGGAGAGACCCATAGAGGGGCAGTGGGCATTGGGGCCTTCTTTCTGTACCTTCTTGTAGGCAAACTCCCAGAAAATGTCACTGTGACTTGGTAACAGTCTCTGGCTATGTGTTTGAGCCCTGTGCAGGCAGTGGGGGGTTCATCTAGTCCATAAAAACTCAAGCTGGAAGGAGGGAGGTTAGACATCAGGAAGAACTTCCTGGCTTGGAAGGACTGAGAGCCCACCGGAAGTGCTGCTGTGTTGCTTCCTTAGAGAGCAGATGAGAGTCTCCATGGAGGCTAAGGGAAGGCTTCCGCTGAGACCAAGGAGGGGACACATGACAGCTTCCCAGAAGGCACAATGTCACCAGGCTTTCCCCTCGTCTTGAACTGTACTGAGCCTTCTCCCTTCTCACAGGAACGATGAAAGCTGTTGGTTGGGGGCCAGGTGGGGTCAGTGTGTGGATGTGACAAACACGGGGAGCAGGGAGGGGTCACAAACCCCTAGTTTTTCTCTTGCTTTCCCAGGAGCAGAATCAAGAGGATTCTGGGGCTCCCTGAGCCCCTGGGAAATAAAGCCCTCTGAGAACTCCCTAGCATTCCTGGGAGAACAGGTTCCTGGCCCTGGGAGGTGAGTGAGGCGCCGGGCCTGGGGGGGCAGCGTGCCTCGGCAGGCCCTGGAGCCGGGAGCTGAGCTCGGCAAAGGCAGGACGGGCGGGGCTGGGCGGGAGCTGGGAGGACATGTGCCTCTCCCCATGGCACCTTCTCCTCTGAGGAGCCTGAGCCCAACTCTAGCCCAGCCTGGTCCACCACAGAGAGGAGCCAGGACAGGAGCTGCTACCCTCCATCAGTTGTGGATGCCCTTCGACTGCCTACATCCTGGGGGTCAAGGAATAACCAAGGTGTCGAAACCCCCTGAGCCAGGCATGGTGGGGACTGGACTGGCTGCAAGGCCACCCTCCCCAATCAGCCCAGAGGAACTGGTTTTCTTCTGTGGGGAACTGAGGAGGCTATGAGGGCTGGCACAGCTGGACCCTGCAGCACTAAAGGCTTCAGACTCCGGGAAGGACTCCATGGCTGTGGGGAAACTGATCGAGTTTCCTCCTTCGGGACTAGGAAAGCGCGGAGGGGGATGTCCTGTCTGGTGTGGACAATGACCAGCCTAGAGGCAGGGGGATGGATGAGATGACTTCTCAAGAGAATGGGCCCTCTCCCTGGGTCCTCTCCCTCTGATCACCTGTGTCTGGCCACAACACACACACAAGCGTATCCCCCCACACTCGTAGATGCAGAGAGAAGAAAACACGCCCACTTGTTAGAGTTGATTCTTAATCTAACGTGCTCTTTGGACATTTAGGGAGGGCCTGGGGGACTCCAGGGGGAATGCCAGAACCTTACCTGATCAGGTAGGGGGTGGGGAGGAACCGTGGGAGCCAGAGGGGGCTTTCTGTGGCTCCATCCAATTCCCTACAGGCTTTCACTTTCCAGACCCCAGTTCTAGGCTTCAAGGGTCCGAGAGTTCTCTGCATGTCCCAGCTCTGCTCACTGGGCCAGGTCGGCTTCAGGGTTCTTGAGGGAGAGAGATGTTCCTAGACCTCCAGGGGATCCTGCCTTGAGCTCAGCATCAGGTACTGTCCATAGCACCTGTTTGCCACCTGTCTGCTTCTCCGCCAGATGCACCGCCTCCTCCCTGCACCCCAGGCCTCCCCCAGACCCCAGGCTTCTAGACCCCAGCCCAGGCTGCCCTGAGATGCTGAGTGATTCGCTGGTCAACACACATCCTTGGCACCACCTGCCCCCAGAGCTGAGCTCTGCCCCCTCTACCTGGAGAAATCATTGAGTTGGGAATCTGCCTCACTGTCTTTCAAGTTTTCCAGTTCTAGCGCTTCCGAGTCCTCCTTTTCTCCCAGCACCGACTGGCTGAGTACACCCTCTCAACACACAGAGGCACGCACAAAATCCAACAAACACCAGAATGAAAAGCTTTGCTACAGCAAGAAGGCTTGAAGTTAGACAACTTGAAACAGGAACAAGAGGGAGGAGCATGGAGGAGAGGGTCCTCTGGGGCCTCCAGGCACTCACCCACTTCCTGAGTCTCCCTTGAGCTGCAGTGAGAAGATGGGGGGACCCCAGTGCTCGCAGTCACTTCCCTGGCCCGTTAAAAAAGCAACCCCTCCCACCCCATGCCCTGGCCCGGCCCTGCTGGCCTCCACGGCTGACTGAGGCCGGGTCTCCTCTTACCTGCTCAATGAAGCAGGTCGGCGTGGGGGCCCGAGGCTGGGGGGCCAAGAGCTCAGTCCGTCTGTCAGTCCGTCAGCTCGGCCGTCCCGGGTCTGTGCTGACATCAGGTGAGGGGAGGCAGCTGCTGGGTGAGCCAATAATTATGATATCAGCTTCCCCTTGCCCTGAGGGGCTGCTGCCAAAACGGGGAGAAAAGCAAGGTGACTAAGAAGCTAGTTTGCTCCTTGGCTCTTGTTTGACAGGTATGGGCTCTTGTGCCCGCCCCAGCCGCACCCTGGCCCCCCCAACTCCTCCCTCCTCTTGAGCCAGCCCAGGCCCCCTGTCTGCCAGCAGGCACAGCCTGTGACCTGCGGAGAAGGGGGTTGTCCTGTGGCTCCCACCTGCACTCAAGAACAGGGATGTCAGCCCCCGTAGGTGGGGCACTGGCTTGTTGGGACATGCACACATGTGCCAGGAGAGCCGGGCCACCACATGTATGTTCATGGAGCCAGTGAGAAGGTTCTGGGGAGCAGCTCTGGGCAGTGGCCCAGGGGTCTCAGGCCTGGTGTGGACAGGCAGTAGTTGTGACCCCTTAAGGGCCAAGCACAAGCACAGATCTGCTGAGAATGGTCTGTCCATGGGGTCTGGCCATCTGTCTTCTCTCTCTGATCTCTCTGACACCTTCAGGGTGTCTCCTTGTGTGTGTGTGCGCACTCATGTGCACATGTGTCTGTGACTCCCTGCGTGTGTCCGTGGGCACGTGAGTCTCTCCGTGTGTCTGTATGCTCATTGGGGTTGGTGTGCGTATGCATCTGGGTCTTTCTTCATGTCTGTGTGTGGATCTGTGTCACTGTATCCAGCCCTTTGTCCGTTTCCTCCTGGGTGTCCTCTGTGTCTATGTGCATAGCTCTGCTCGGGTCAGCAGTCCTTCCCGAGCGTGTCTGTGTCACTGAGTGGGTGAAGATGGGGGCCCCCGGCTTCTGTGGCACGATCCCACGGCCTCTCTTCCTGGTCTAGAGAATAAAACCAGAAACCCTTGTGGTTGTGGCCCTGGTCCTGGCCCCCAGAGTCCACTCTGAGAGCACAGTGCCTGGTGGCCCCTGGGAGTTGGCCCCACCTCTCCTACCTGGACTCAGGCCTTGGGCCTGTCCCTGGCTCCCTGACAGCCTTCCTGGCCTCTGCCCACACCCTGTCCCCACCACTTTCTCACTGCTTCCTTTTCATCATCTTTGTCCCACTCCTGTCTCCTGTCCCTGGCCATTCTCGTTTAAAAATTTTTATCCTCACCCTAGGTATTTTTCCATTTATCTTCAGACAAAGTGGAAGGGAGGGAGAGAGAGAGAGAGAGAGAGAGAGAGAGAGAGAGAGAGAGAGAAGAGAGAGAAACATTGATGTGAGAGAGACACATCAACTAGTTGCCTCTAGCACGACCCCAACCAGGGCTGGGGATGAACCGCAACTGAGGTACATGCCCTTGACCGGAATCGAACCCACAACTCATTGGTTCATGGGCCAGCGCTCTAACCGCTGAGCCAAATCGGTCAGGGCTCACTGGCCATTCTTTCCCTCCTCTTCTTCCCTTCTTGTCCTCTAAGCCCACTTTTATGTCTTCCTGGAGCTAAAGGCTCCAGAGACCTAGTGGTAGATCTGTTGCCCAGCAAGACCTGGGATTTGGCTTCTGGCCTGAGGGTGTGGACAGGTCAGCTTCTTCCCACTTATTCTATTTCATTCCAAGGAGGGAGGTAATGTCAGCCTTGGCTAGGGGGAAGGGGTGGTTTTCTAGCACCAGTGTGGAGTAGACTAAAACACCTGGAGTCTTCTTTTTGTTTTTTCTTTCTGTTTTTAATTTTAATTTTAATTTTAATTTTTTTACTAATTTGTTTTTGTTACAGATGTTTCTCCTTTTTCCTCCCATTGACACCCTCCTCCCCATCCCCCCAGTCCCATCCCCAGCTTTTTGTCTATGTCCATTGGTCATGCATACATGCATATAAGTTCTGTCGTTTATCTTCCTCCCCCAACCTCCCTCCTCTGAGGCTTGTCAGTCTGTACCCCACCTCTATGTCTCTGGGTCAATTTTGTTCATCAGTTTGTTTAGTTCATTATATTCCACAAATAAGTGAGATCATATGATATTTGTCTTTCTCTGTTTGGCTTGTTTTGCTTAGCGTAATACTCTCCAGGTCCTTCCATGTCATCTCAAAGGATAAGAGATCTTTCTTTCTTACAGCTGCATAGTATTCCACTGTGTATATGTACCACAGCTTTTTTTTTTTTTTACCCTCACCCGAGGACATTTTTCCATTTTTTGTTCAGATAGAGCGGGAGGGAGAAAGAGGAAGAGAGAGAGAGAGAAACATCGATGTGAAGGGACACACCGAGTGGCTGCCACCCGCACGACCAACCAGGGCCGGGGACAAACTGCAACCGAGGTACATGCCCTTAGCTGGAACCGAACCCGGGTCTCTCTGTACCGCAGGTCGGCACTCCAACCGCTGAGCCAAACCGGCCAGGGCACCACAGCTTTTTTATGCACTCATCTACTGATGGACACTTGGGTTGTTTCCAGATCTTAACTATTGTAAATAGCACTGCTTTGAACATAGGGGTACATATATTCTTTCTGATTGGTATTTCAGTTTTTTTAGGATATATTCCTAGAAGTGAGATCACTGGGTCAAATGGCAGTTCAATTTTTAACTTTTTGAGGTAACACCATAGTGTTTTCTATAGTGGCTGCACCAGTCTGCATTCCCCCCAGCAGTGTACTAGGGTCCCCTTTTCTCCACACCCTCGCCAACACTTGTTGTTTGATGATTTGTTGATGGTGGCCATTCTGACAGGTGTGAGGTGATACCTCATTGTTGTTTTAATTTGCATTTCTCTGATGATTAGTGATGTTGAGCAGTTTTTCATATGTCTCTTGGCCATTTGTATGTCCTGTTGGGAGAAGTGTCTAGTTAGGTCCTCTGCCCATTCTTAAAATGGATTCTTTGTCTTCCTTTTGTTGAGTTGTATGAGTACTCTATATATTTTGGAAATTAACCCCTTATCTGATGCATCACTGACAATTATGCTCTTCCATATATTGGGATCCTGGAGTCTTCTTTGTCGAGGCAGGGACTATCCATTTCAGAAAAGAGGGTGCTGAGGCACATAACAAAGAACCCATCTGTGAGTGGTGGCTGGCTGTATCATCTTCCATACTCACTACTTCGAGCCTCTGTTTCCTCGTCTGTTAACGAGGAATACTATTATTCTCCCATAGAGTTGTGATTAAATAAGGTTATGTTTAAAGTTCCTAGCACAATCCCTGGTAGATAGTAGATGTTCAATAAATGAATGTGTGTTCCCTTCCTCTTCACCAAGCCCAGTGGTGCTGGGCGGGACAATAGGATATGGTGGTTTGCCCTAATAACTGATGAAGTTTGACAGTGAAAGGGCAGCTGTCAGACCTCCTATCTGATATGTAGAGGGCTAATTGTTACTTCAAGACTCACAGGTAATTCCATATGGGTGACCTGGGCCCAGAGAACCATGAAAGTTGTAAATTGGAGGCTGCTCTCATTGTCATCCATCAGTGTTATTCTGAAGGCCCTGACAGTGCAATGAGATGAGGAAAAGGACTAAGGGACATCACTATGAAAAAGAAAGAGGCAAAATCTTCAAGAATTACCAGTGATGTCACTGTTGACTTAGGAAATCTAAGAGAATCAACTGAAAAACTATTAGAACTAATGAGAGAAACTAGTAAGTTAGCAGAATCAGAACATATGTTAAGTATAGGAAAATCAAAACTATTTCTATTCAACTAAAACAACCAATTGAAAAATATATGGAGACAAAAGATCCAACATTACAAAATACCCAGTAGTAAACTTAATAAGAAATGCATAAAATCTACATGAGGAAAACAATAGAACTTTACTGACAGACATAAAATAACACCTGAAAAAATATAAAGGTACATAATATTCTTGAATTGAAAAGCTCAGTATAATATTGTAAAGATGTCAATTCTATAAACTCTAGTACACTGCCGGTGGGAATGCAGATTGGTGCAGCCACTATGGAAAACACCATGGTGTTACCTCAAAAAATTCAAAATTGAACTCCCATTTGACCCAGTGATCCCACTTCTAGGAATATACCCTAAGAAGCCTGAAACACCAAGCAGAAAGAATATATGTAACCCCATGTTCATAGCAGCACTATTTACAATAGCTAAGATCTGGAAACAGCCCAAATGTCCATCAGTAGACGAATGGATAACAAAACTGTGGTACATGTACACAATGGAGTACTACGCAGCTGTAAGAAAGAAAGATCTCTTATCCTTTGAGACGACATGGAGGGACCTGGAAAGTATCATCCTAAGCGAAACAAGCCAAACAGAGAAAGACAAGTATCATATGATCTCACTTATTTGTGGAATATAATGAACATAATAGTCTGAGGAATGGGGTAGTCCCAGAGACGTGGAAGTGGGGTACAGACTGATAATCCTCAGAAGAGGGGGTGGCGGGGGAGAGATAAACCACAGAACTTACATGCATGTGTGCATGAACAATGGACATGGACAACAAAGCTTGGGACAGGGCAGGGAGGGGGGAGGGGGAATCAGTGGGGGAAAAAGGGAAAAACATCTGTAACAAAAATAAATAAATTAATAAAATAAAATAAATAAACAATCTATAAACTGAATGTAATTCAAATCAAAACTCTAATCCTGCCATGGCTGGTGTGGCTCAGTTGGTTAGAGCATCATCCCGTACACCGAAAGGTAGCAGGTTTGGTTGCTGGTCAGGGCACATATTCAGGTTGTGGATTCAATCCCTGGTTAGGGCTCATACAAGAAGCAAACCAATCAATGTTTCTCTCTCAAATCAGTGTTTCTCTCTCTTTTCTTCTTCTCTCTCTAAAATCAATGGACATATCCTCAGGTGAGGATTTAAAAGGTCTAACCCCCTCCGCCAACTTTACAAGTTGATTCTATAGTTTGGGGAAGAGTACATACGTGAGAATAGCTTAGAACTTTTTGAAAAAGAAGACTATTAGGGGGAACTTGCCTTGACAGATTTAAAGATGTTCAATAAGCCTTCTGCAATTAAAACAATGTGATTTTGGTGCAAATTAGCAAATAAATTAGTGGGAGATAATAGAGTTCAGAATAAACGGGTATCTGTGAGAATTGGGTATGTGATAA